ACATTCTATATGGAGCTATTGAAATAGGTCCGACTCCAGGGATCAAGTCTATTGCAAATTCAACTTCTCATTCTGGTGGTAATCCAGGAATATCATCCGGAAATACTTCAGGGTAGTCACACACAATAGGCAGATTCTCTATTCTAAATTCCTTTTCTCCTTTTAGAGAGAGTAACACCATACATAACTGCGCTCCCTCTTTCAAAGAAGCATTAACTTGGCTTGCAGTTAGAAATCTCAAATTCTCTGATGATGGGTTCAAGGATTCACCAAAAACTATGGTTTTTGTGTGGCAGTCTAACAGAACATGGTTGGCAGATAGCCAATCTAGTCCTAGGATGATTTCTAAATCAAGGAGAGGCAAACAAAACAAATTTGCAGAAAGATTTCTACTTTCTACAACAATAGGACAATTCAAACAAGCCTTGACAATAACTATAGGAGTACCGCCAGGAGTAGAAACAAACAAGTCATATGGTAAAGCAATAACAGGTAATTGCAATCGTCTCACACAAGCTTCAACAATAAAAGAATGAGACGCTCCAGAATCATACAATACATTTAGGATATTCCCATTTATGAGACATTTACCCTGTATCATAGAGTCAGATTGAGATGCCTTTTCGCCACTCATTGCAAAAACTTTTCCTTGTGTCCTTGGCCTCCCAGGTTGATTACTGTTAACCCTGCTGCCACTGCTACTACCAGCATGACTCTTAAAATTGTTGTTCTCCTTCTTCCACTCAGGACAATCACGAATAATGTGACCTTGCTTTCAACACTTAAAACAATTATAGTTCTTTTTCGAGCAATCTCGTGCAAGATGTGGTCCTTCACAAATAAAACATTTTCCACTGAATCCACTTGATCTACTTGAACTTCCCACTGGTGGTTGATACCCACTTCCTCCATATGAGAATCTTTGCTGCCTTTGAGAAGGTTGGTAAGGTTTTCCTCTATCATAGGATTGTCCTTTTCTCTGTAGAAAATTCTGCTGAGGTCCTGAATTTTTCCAATGTGCCTGTTTGGCCTTAGCATCATCCTCATAAATACGACATCTATTTACAAGCGTTGGGAAATGAGTAATCTCCTGGTATCCTATTGCCAGCTTGATGTCAGGACGTAACCCACTTTCAAACTTAGTGCATCGTGAGCGATCATCACCATTATTGTTGAAATACGGACAGTACTTGGATAATTCATCAAACCTTGCCATGTACTCCCCCACAGACATACCTCCTTGCTTCAAATTCAGGAATTCCACTTCCTTCCTCCTTCTCAAATCTTCAGGAAAATACTTTTCTAAAAATCTCTGCTTAAATACTTCCCAGGTGATTGCTCCTCCTGCCTCCTCCAATTGTTGTCTAGTGTACCTCCACCAATGTTCAGCTTCCCCTTGAAATAAATAAACTGCAAATGTAACCTTACTAGCATCTGGACAATTCATTGCTATGAAGATCTTCTCTAACTCTTCAATCCATAACTGGGCTCCATCTGGATCAAATCCACCTTTGAACTTTGGAGGGTTGTTCTTCATAAAACTTTCTAAACTATAAGTACCAACTTGTCCTGTTGGTTGTCTCTCTAACACTCCAACCATTCTTTCTAGCAATTCATTCAAAAGAGCATTACCACGTCCTCTACCTCTTCCTACCATCACTTCCTGCAATCACAAATTCAATCAATCCCCTCTATATATGTGAAGTAAAACTAGATAAACTAAGAATTACTCCACATTACAAATTTCACATCACTACTTTCTGTCGAAAATAACAATACAAGAGCACACAGACAAGCATATTAGGCCTTTCCCCAGGCCTATAGGAAAGAACTGCTCTGATACCACTAATTGTGACACCTTTAATACCAACATTAACTTTATTATGATTTATTAATTATTATTGGTTCCTCTTAGTATTTGATTACCAATACACTCTTGTAGAAGTAAGGTACACAATAATTAGAACATACACTTAGTGATTAATATACATATCATTCATAAGTATCAAGTATAACTAGATAGTAAATATACACAAAGTCATCCCAAAATACACCTAACAAGGGTTCACAAGACCAGAGCAGACAAACTAACTATACAACCTAATTAAAGAGGAGATATATTTCGTACGTCCACTAAAATGAAGTATCTCTTGTAGCACTATAGTGGTGTCCGATCAAGTCCTCTACTTAGTACTTGCAGTGATCATATTTAAACTTTACTTGGAGATGATACCGGGGATGAGTTGTGTTCAACGTCACCTATACAAACATTTCATAATAACAATACATGCACAGAAAGGGTAAGACAACTTTATATTCACTTAGAGCATGCAAATAACATTGAGTTAATTAGAAATCACACATACAAACATACTAGTAATAAGCACACAAATGATATGATATTATGAATGCAATGTATGCACTAATCTTTTCTAGGACACATCCTAGTATGCAAGACCATGGGGATCCCAAAACCACTTTCTCTTTTCTCTTTTTGTTTTGTTTTTTTTTTCTTTTCGAGAAAGATCAGGAGTTTCACTGGAACTTCTCACCGCCTCGCGGTAGTATACTCATAATTACTTGTCCAGCTCAACTGATCATGAGAAACCCTAGGGCTTTAGTCAGGATAATCAAGCTTGGTAGTGAGAGTCTCACAACTTAGGTAGCGAGCCTGAGCCACATATGAGCTCGATCACACTCAATCATCCCCGAGGTTAGCATGGAACCGACCCTGATTTTCCATATCCTCCTCATACACTCAATTTCTGACTCATGAACATGATGCATGACTTATCATAACTTCTTCACACTCTTTCAACTTTGTTTCACCTCATTATACTTAAATCACACCTTAACTTCTTCAAAATAATACTAGGCTATTTCTTAAGAAAAATCTGACAGAGTTCCCCTATAAATTGGACATTCCCAAAATTTTTTATCACCTGCAAAATAACCAAAAACATCCCAGAACACTTTTACTTTTCACCAAACCATCCTTCCACCTCATCATATTCATCATCACTCAAAATCATAATTTTCTCAATTTTAATTTATTTTTCTTAAATAATAATAATAATTGCAAATAATTTCCTCAAAATTATTAAAAATTCATTTTCACTTACAATTACTTGTTTTCTCCTAGATTAAAATTATTCCAATACTTTTGAAAAAATATTTATTAATTAAATAAAAATATAAAAATTCACTTCATAATTAATTTATAAAATTCAATTTAATATATCAAAAAAATAGTTTTCTTTCTCACATAGTTCATTTTTCACACCTTTCCTCCATTCCACCAAATTATACAATGCAATTCTATATGTTAATCCATCTTAACAAAAACATTCCACAATAATTTTCTACTTATCATGTTTCATAACATACATACAATATATCTCAATAATCAATTTAAAGCAATTATCATAATACAAAACATAGAAATAGGCTAATTCTCAATCTAAATTCATCAATAAATCATATAAAATTACTAATGATTAAGCAATCGATTCAAACAACATTCATGGATGTCTTATAATCATACAAGGTTCCATACACTCAAGTTGCTCCATTTAGAAACCATAAAATTCACATAATCTTAAAACTTTAAAAATTCATCAAAAATAGAAATAACATTCAAATAATTCCAAATAAATTTCTAATTAACTTAGAAGTAAAGGGACTTCTTCTCAATGCTATTTTAAGCAAAAGTGAATTATAAAAATTATCCTACCCCTTACCTTATGTTGTAACTTGGTAAAGAGCAACTCTTGATCAAATAATCTATCAAGTCTTTGGGTCTCCTCTTTGCACCTCTAAGTAGCCTCCTACATTCTAATTAACACTAGTGGAAAAAAGGGCTTTTACATCACCCAATTGTCGTCGCATGTAAAAATATTCGACGTACATAAAATGCGGTGGCAATTTTGTAAATAAGAGACAAAACTTTTACGTCGCACACCTCAGCACAAGACGTAAAAAGCCTCTTTTACGTCGCAGCTACGTGGCGCGACGGAAAAGAAAACTTTTTACGTCGCGTCGTGCTGGGTGCGCGACGTAAAAAGTGATAGCTTTGGAATTTTCATCCATCGCCAAATACATGGAGGGATCTGTTTGGTTTGGCCGGGTCCAGAACAGAAGAATCCGTCGTTTGGAGACAAGGAGAACTTAAAATGGCGATGTGGCATGTACTAATCCCGGTGCATTCGTTTTGTCTACAGGGCTCACTATTCTTCCATTTCACAGTAACATGCCCACTCTTTTGCTCACTGCTGAAAGAGAAAGAGAAGATAGATAGAAATGGTATCGAGTAAAGGCAAAACCCTAGGTGCATATAACAATTTAACAAACCAAAATTTGCATGCAAATCCATAAATACCCTTCTCTCCTTCTCTTTCTCTTTCTCTTTCTTTTTCTCTTATACCCACTCTCACTTTCTCTCACACTCACATCTCCAAACCCAGCTTCAAGGGAACCTAAACTCTCTCTCCATCTGTCTTTCCGATCCCCACCTTTCAACCTTATTCCATTCCTTTCTTCTCTCATGTTTCATTCGGTACGTTCCCGTCCTTCCCTTCCATTCCACCTAGATTCAGATTCATCTCCTTCTTCCTTCTTTCTTCCAACCTCGAATCTAGTGCTACTTAGGGTTTTGTATAATTTTTTATTCTTATATCATCAACAGGATGGATCTTATTTGTTATGATTTTAGTTTCAATTTGGTTGTTTTCGTTTTGGTTGTAATTTCGATGGTGCGTTTACCTTGCGTCTTTCGCAGTTTACTTCACTATATGCTTCCTAGAAAAAGAGTGAGTGAAGGAGGAGTGGTAGTTGAAGGAGATACTGACGCCGCCACCAACAACAATATTTCAAAGAAGGCTCGGATCAGCTGCTTTGCTGCCTGCTCGGGTGCTGCGAAATCGGCGGTGGACGACAGCGGTCGGGGATTCAGTAGCAACGGCAGCGGCGACAATAGCGGCGGCGAGAAATCAATCGAAGGAATGGCGTTGGGGGGCTCGCACCCAGTAGAGATCGACGAGGATCTGCACAGTCGGCAGCTCGCCGTCTATGGCCGCGAGACCATGCGGAGGCTCTTCGCTTCCAGCGTCCTCATTTCGGGGATGCAGGGTCTTGGTGTTGAAATTGGTAATTGGGTTTTCTAACGCTTCAATTGAAACTGTTTTAACCCAGGATGTCTTGGGTTTTGTGTATGGTTTTCGTAAGGGTTATTTATCGAGGGACGGGAATAATAGTTAACGTCGCATATTGGTATATGCGACGAAAATTTACGTCGCATATTGGTATATGTGACGTAAATTTACGGCGCGTATACCAATATGCGACGTAAATTTGCTATTTTTTTTTAATTTCTGAAAGTTGTTACGTTTGTTTAGTGGTATATGCAACGTAAAATTACGTCGGGTCTTGATAACTGGCGTAAATTTACGTCGGGCTAAAGGGTCCGACGTAAATTTACGTCTCCCATTTTAACGTCAGTCTTAAATACGACGTAAAAAGCCCTAAATACCTGACGTAAAAGTCCCTTTTTGCACTAGTGTAAATACCCCAATTAAATCCTTAATCCCAACCATATTAGACCTCTAAAATCTCACCTCCTTCATAGCCTAAAATTCTAAAATTCAAGACTATGTTTCTTTGAGTTATAAAATCATTTCTAGGGCCTAAATTGATGCTAATGGAAGTAATACATGTGGAAGAGAGTAATGGAAGTAGTACACTTAGAGTAGGAAGAATCCTAATAACAAATATGGACAAGGTTTAGTATTTCAGAATTTTCTAGAGTTATATAAGCTGTTTTGGCATGAGGTCAGAGCCAAAATTTCAATAACTTAATTATCTACGATATTGATGAAGGAAATAAATTCAAATACCCTGTAGAATAAATGCAGTTTTTTTAGTTTACAGTGGTTGTTTCCAATATGGCTCAACTACAATAACACTCTGAACATGCCTTGGTAATTTGACTATAACTCATGATACACATAAGCTATTGACATGAAACAAATTTCTAAATTTTGGTAATATAATTTCCAACAACCTTTATGAAGGAATCAAGTCCTAATTTCATACGTATCAATCCCAGTAATTAAAAAACCGAGGCTGTTGAAACAGGGAAATCTCTTAACTTCACAGCTATAACACTTGACAGTAAAATGGACATAACTTGAGCTACAATTATCCGTTTGATGTGAAACAAGCTTCTAAATTTCGATAACTTAAAGGAATACAACTTTTATGAAGATACCAATTCCTAATTCTGTTCACACAAGTCCCAAAATTCAATGAACAGTGACCTACGAATTAGGGTGTTTAAGGTTTTTAGCTTAATCACTTCTAATCCTCAATTCTAAGTATTATTCTAGTGTCCTAGGTGTAAAACCTACAATAACACTCTTTCTACTCCCATTCAAGCTTAGCCAAGTAGGGAAAAAATTTGAAAATGCACCGTTTTGAAAAATAAAATCGTAGAAATGTAGAGGAGATTGAGAGAAACAAACTTACCTCTTGGAGTTTCTCAAGAAAATCAATATTTCCCCCTCAAAATCAAACTTCAAAGTGAGGAGGGTTTGAGAGAAAGCGAGAAATGAGAGAAAGAAAGAATTTACGGGAAGTTGTAGAGTGAATGGTTTTTTAAAAGTCAAAATCTAATTTTTTAGATATATTATTATTATTTTTTTTTAATTCCAGAAAATTTCCAAAAAATCACAAATAATCTAACAAACATAAAACTCTATAGTCACTTTCCCCAATTCCTAATAATTTAATTAATAAAATTTTGACAAAAGTTTTAGAGGTACTGAGAATTAGGATGTTATACTTCCACTCCTACCAATCTTTCGATTCTCACAACGAAGAATTATAACAACTGGAAAATACAGATACGAGTGGTTATGAGGTATCAAGGAGTATGAAATCTTGTTGAAAAAGGTTGCAAGTTAACTAGTGAAGGTGGAACGGAAGCTTAGAGAGCTGCAGATATCGAGATTGAAAAGAAAGATTGCAAGGCCCTGTATATCTTGCATCAAAGTGTTGATGCATCAAATTTTGAAAAGATCTCGAAGGCTGAGACATCCAAGGAGGCCTAGGACATTCTTGAAATGGTCCATGGTGGTGCAACGAAGACCAAGAAGGTGAGGCTTCAAACGTTGTGACGTCAATACGAACTTCTATCGATGGAAAGCAACGAGCAGGTGGTTGATTACATCACTCGTGTTCAAACGATGGTGAACACTATGAAGGGTCTTGGAGAGAAGATGTTTGAGTTGCAGGTGATTGAGAAGGTGTTACGTACGCTACTAGCGAAGTTTGATCATATAGTAGTTGCAATAGAAGAGTCAAAGAATCTTGAAAATTTGAGTCTTGATGAACTTCAAGGTTGCTTGGAGTCACACAAATTAAGGCTAATTGAAAGGGAAGAAGAGCGAAAGAATGAGCAAGCTCTTCAGGCTCAGACCAACACAGACGCAATGTTCAAGAAGAAGTCTAGGAACAAAGGAAAATGGAGGCAAGAAGTGAACAAAGAGGACGCAAAAGAGACTCAAGACAACAAGCACACAGTAGCATCTTAGAAAGGGAAAAGAAGTAATTTTGACAATAAAAAGGTGAAATGTTACAACTGTAATAAAATGGGACACATTGCCAAGTATTGCAAGCAATATAATCCAAGAAGAGATGAAGCCCGATTGGCTCAAGAAGAGGACGATGACGCAGAACAAGTTTTGTTAATGCCAACCACTGTCCAAACAGAAGGAATCGAAGATAATTGTTGGTATCTTGACACTAGATGCTCAACACACATGATGGGAAGGAAGGATTGGTTCACGAGTCTTGATGAATCAATTAAAAGCAAGGTCAAGTTCGCAGATGCTCGTGTACTAACAACCGAAGGGATTGGAAATATTACAATGAAGAATAAGAATGGAGGTCAAGCTCTCATCACCAATATCTTGTTCGTTCCTGGAATGAAGAACAATCTATTAAGCCTAGGCTAACTATTGGAGAAAGGATACTCCTTTAGACTTGAAAATAAAATGCTCAGTGTGTACGATAAACACAATCATTTGATAATGAAGTCACCTCTTACAAAGAGTCGAACCTTCAAGGTAGAAATTGATGTAGTAGATTAAGAATGTTTTGCAATTGCAGTAAAGAAGGAGGAATGGCTTTAGCATTATCGTTTTGGACACCTCAATTTCAAAGATTTGCAAAACCTGAAATCCAAAGACATGGTACGTGGCTTACCTTATATATCTCCACCCAACGAAGTGTGTAGTGATTGCATGGAATCCAAGCAGCCTAGGAACTCTCTCCAACATATTTCATAAAAAAACTAAAGAAAAATTACAAGTCGTCTATTCAGATGTCTGTGGGCCTATTCAAACTTAATCCCTTAGTGGTAATAGATACTTCGTATCCTTCATTGATGACTTTTCCAAAAAGTTATGGGTATATTTGATTAAAAGAAAGAATGAAGTATTAGAAATGTTTCAAAAATTCAAACCTATGGTGGAACGATGCAGTGGCCAGTCGATCAAAGTATTGAGAACAGACGGTGGAGGTGAGTATATGTCCAAGGAGTTTGAAAGGTTTTGTGAAAAGGAAGGTATTGAGCATGAATTCACCCTTTCATACACACCACAACACAATGGAATCACAGAAAGAAAGAATCGAACCATCATGAATATGGTACGTAGCATGCTAAAGACAAAACAACTATCAAAGTATATGTGGGGTGAGGCCGTTTCTACCGCTGCTTACATCTTAAACAGATGCCCAACGAAGAGGCTGGATGGAACTACTCCATAAGGGGTTTGGTCCAACACCAAACCAGACGTGAGCCACCTAGGAGTGTTTAGATCAATATGCTATAAGCATGTACCTGAATAGTTGAGAAGAAAGCTTGACGACAAAGGAGAGAAGATGATTCTGTTAGGATATCACCGAAAAGGTGGATATAAACTGTTCAATCCCATCACCAAGCAAATTGTGACAAGTAGGGACGTGATATTTGATGAGTTGAAGGGATGGAACTTGGAGTTGAATGCGAATGAACGATACAGTCAGGTTATAATTGATTCAGGTGAGGATGAAACTAACGAAGATCCCAATGAAGAATCAGGAGGAGCGTCTTCGTCCAATGTTCTAAGAAGATCTCAAAGAGATACTAGGATTCCATCTAGGTTTAAAGGTTTCGAGATAATATCTGATGTTGATGTGAATGAAGAAGGAGACATAGTCCATTTTGCTCTGTTCTCTGAAACTGAACTAGTTACTTATGAAGAAGTTATTTCGAATAGCAAATGGATTGATACGATGAAGGATGACCTTCGATCCATTGAGAAAAACTAAGTGTGGGAACTGGTGTCTCTACCTCAGGACAAGAGACCAATCAGTTTAAGGTGGGTTTTCAAAACCAAAACTGATTCCACAGGGAAGATAGTGAAGCACAAAGCGAGATTAGTTGTACGTGGCTTTCTTCAGAAACTTGACATCGACTACAAGGAAGTATTTGCTCCAGTGGCCAGGATTGAAACGATACGAACAGTGGTTGCAATTGCCAACTCTAAAGGATGGATCATGTATCAGTTGGACATAAAATCCACATTCTTGAATGGACCTCTAGAAGAAGAAGTTTATGTATCACAACCTCTTGGGTTCGAACTTGAAGGACAGGAAGCTAAGGTGTACAAACTAAAGAGAGCCCTCTACAGACTCAAACAAGCGCCGAGAGCATGGAATCGAAGGATTGATGCTTACATGCTACAACTCAGATTCATCAGATGCACTTGTGAATTTGGAGTATATGTTTGCCAAAATCAATACATGGTCATCGTGTGTCTGTACGTTGATGATCTTCTAATTACAGGCAACCATGTCAAAGATGTCGATACAGTCAAGAGGAAATTGATGCATGAATTTGAAATGACGGACCTAGGAGAATTGTCGTAGTTTCTAGGATTTGAATTCACAAAGGTAAGAGAAGGATTGATGATGCACCAAAGGCGATATGTGATGGAGGTGTTGAAGAGATTCAACATGTTGAACTGCAATCCAGTGGCTACTCCATCTGAGACCGGTTTAATATTGGAGAAGGAAGGGACTGAAGAGCCTGTTGATGAAACTATGTATAAGAAGATTGTGGGATCCTTACGGTATTTTTGTCACACACGACCAGACATAGAATTCTCTGTCGGGGTTGTGTCACGATTCATGCAGAACCCAAAGACACCTCATCTTCTTACTGCCAAACAAATCCTCAAATATGTCAAAGGAACTATGTCAAGTGGTATCTTGTTTCCACGAAACAACGTCATGACAGACAAAATTGAAATTGTTAGGTTCTCGGATGCGGACTAGGGAGGTGACAAGGACAATCGTAAAAGTACAGCTGGTTTCGTGTTCTTTGTTGAAAAAGATCCTATCTCATGTAATTCGAAGAAAGAACATGTGGTAGCTTTGTCCACGTGCGAAGCAGAGTATATAGTTGCTGCCATATGTGCTTGTCAGGCTGCGTGGCTAGACAAACTACTGATTGAGTTGAAGCAGAAAGGTGATGAAGGAATAAAGATGTTCATCGACAACAAGTCAGCGATAAACTTGTCAAAGAATCCAGTAGCTCACGAAAGAAGTAAACATATTGAAACTAAGTTTCACTACTTGAGAGACCAAGTGAATAAAAAGAAGTTAGAACTTGTGTACTACAACACTCAAGATCAAGTGGCAGACATGTTCACTAAAGCTACCAAGGGAGAGAGGTTTCGAATTTTGAGAAATAAGTTAAGAGTTTGTAAAGTTCATAGGGAAATCTGAATTAAGGAGGAATGTTAAAATGTAATTCAATTTTTAATTCAGTTTGACTTTCTGTTTCAAACATCTCAGAAGAAGCATCACATTCAAAAACAAATAAAAACCAAATACTCATAAAAGAGATGCATTATTGATTCAAATGGCTAGATCCCGACCCAAGAACCAGTGTAATCCAAGGCACATATTACCCGTCAATGACATATCGAAACCAACAGCTAGGTAAAGGGAACTGTTAGGGTGGGGAGAATGAGCAGCGATGAAAAGGGATGCGTGGGTGGTTTGCCACATGGGTTTGGGGTTCTGATGAGGGTATTGGGGATGGAGATGCAAGGGTGAGCCACGTCAAAGATACGAGCGGCCGTAGTGAGGTTGCCCGGTGGTGGTTAGAGTGAGGGTGGTCAAAGGAGGTAAGGTTGGTTCCGCCTAGTGGCGGATTTTCTTGGGAGCTGAGGGAGGTCGTGACGCTCTCAAAGTTTTGTAACTCCCATTAATTTATGATTTTGACCCCCACAAACTTAATGAACATTTAATATATTTACTTGTATATTTACAATTTTATCCTCTTAGCCCCTCCTTAGTTTTGTAACTCTCATATAATTTATGATTTTGTCCCCCTCAAACTTAATGATCATTTAATATATTTAAGTATATATCTACAATTTTATCTTTTCACCCTTTCATCTTATTTCTTCCTTTTATATTTATTTATTATTTATTAATAATATATTATTTGGTCTCCTCAATATTAATAGTCAAGATCCGTCACTAGTTCTGCGATTCGGTGGGTGCTGGAGGATGTTGTGGTGGTTGTGGAAACGGTGGTGGTGGCCGAATGGTTAAGCTGGGGTGATGGTTAGGTGGATGAAAAATAGAAGTGAAGGGTGTTGGGTGAAGGCTGGTCAGGGGAAAGGTTGAGGAAGTGAGGTGGTGGAGGCACAGTGAAGGGGAAAGTAAGGGGAGAGTGATGAGGCTAAGAGTGAATGGTGAGACGCGGGTTGGGAGAGGCAGCAGAGGTGATGGTGGGTGAGGATGATGGGTCGGGCGAAGGAGATGAGAGAAAGGGTAAATAAGTAGAGTAAAAATGAATGGACCATGAAAGATATCAAGCACAGTAAGGTTGGAGAACAAAATGGGAGACACTTAGAGAGGGAAATTTTAAGTTATTGTTTTTCATGTTGACCTAGGCAGAAGTGAGTTGGGTCCAATAAAATATATAAAAAAAAAACAATGAAAATAGAAAATAAAACATAAAACTTTGTTTGTAGGTATTTAACTCTTTTAATATAAAAAATAAAATTTTTATAAATTTTAAGGTTATATATATTTATTATTATTTTAAATTATAATTTTTTAAATTAATATTTCAATTTATATTATTAATTTAAAATATAAATAATTGATAAATAAATAATTATTTTATTATCAAATTTATTAAAAAATTTAAAAGAAATAAATAAATTTAAATTTTAAAAAATAATAATATGAGTTTTTCGTATTTAAACACAACTTGACTTAATTTTTTTTTAATATAGACAATTTTTATAAAATTTTAAAAAAATTAACTCCATTCAAAATAATAATAATAATAATAATAATAATAATATAAAAATATAGTCGAATAATAGTGATCCCTATTCCTTTTATACACTACTATAAATTCTTTATATATATATATATATATATATATATATATATATATATATAAACAAATATGTAAAAAACATTAAATATATAGAAAAATATAAATTAAAAAAGTATTTATTTTTATTTCAAAATATATAATTTTAAGATTTAACTACACAAACAAATATAAACATTAACTCTCATTATTTTTAATAAATTTATTAATCTTTTTCATTAATATTCTTATTATATTAATATTCTCTCCAATCAAATTACTCTTAAATAAATTTTTATATCTGTAATAAATATAATTAAAATACGGAAAAAGAATAATTAATATATTATTAACTTTTATGAATGTCATATATTTAGAAATAATTTTTTTTACCTACAATATCATATATTTTAAAATATAAATATTAAATTTATTAATTATATTAATAACTTTAATTTATACTTATTTTAAAATTTAATAAAAATAATTTATAATATATATATATATATTAAATTAAATATATTTTTGTTTTATTTTAATTATATTCAATAATAAATAAATTCGTATAATACGATTAGTTTAAGAAAAAAATATTAAAAATTTTAGATAATATAATTTCATTTTAAATAAAAAATAATATGAGTTTTTCGTATTTAAACACAACTTAACTTATTCTTTTATTTTTTAATATAGACAATTTTTATAAAATTTTAAAAAAATTAACCCCTTTCAAAATAATAATAATAATAATAATAATAATATTAAAAAATAGTCGAAACACTACTACAAATTCTTATATTTTATGAGAATATATTTTAAAATTTTTATAAAAATTATAAAAAAAAGTAATTAACTTTTTAATAGTGAAATTAAAATTAATTGAGAAACAGTTTGGAAATAATGTGAGGAGAGAGAATTGTTGATGGTGCTGATGATTCTAATCCAGAAAATTCGTGGTCGCTGCCGCTTCTTCCTGTGGCAACATCAACATACATTATCCATTTCGACAAATGGTGACCCGAAAAAGTGCGGGGACACAAGGTACGAGCTTGGTTGTGAAGATAATGTTAAGGTTTTGTATCTGTACTCTGCTAAATACCATGTGCAGGCCATCAACTACAATAATTACACAGCGAGAGTGGTTGATCCTGTGCTTCAACACAACTGCTCCTTTTCTACCTCCTTCAAATTGGTATAGCAGCGCTGTATTTTGCTGCTGCACAAATCATTTCTGTCCAAGTACCTTTTCTGTCCTCCAAATCATAGAATTCACATATTTTGGGTGGTTACTCAGAACGGAAAGGCAATTGATCCGAATATTTGGAATACTTTGTCTCATAATCATTTGTCTGAAAAAGTCTGAATGGATAAATAGATTGTTGTGGATGATAAAAGGTTGTTGCATACGAATGTTTTGTTGTTTTATAGGTGGTGGTTTGCATCCCATTAGCTTGGTTTTTCCATTTTAAATTTGGATGGTTTTTTCATGATGAATTATATTGATATATATATATATATATATATATATATATATATATATATATATATATATATATATATATATATATATTTTCAGATTTAAAAGTATTTATTAATCTATTTTTTTGTCATAAATCATGCATTTAACATCATTTCATAAAATACAGAGCATATTTCAATTTTATTTAATTTGTTGCATTTTATTTTAGCATTAAATCATACATTATAATGCATAATTTTTTTTATTTGTTACGAGAAATATAATTTAAGATGAGACAACTTGATAAAAATAAAGATCCAAATTTATAGTAAGTATCACGTGCAATCGAGTTTTATTCTTCTCGGAAGCTCAAGTTTGTTGGTGCAATCCATTTATGCATGTGCGTTACTATTGCGATAATCAACTTGAGCTGAATAAAAGGCAGCAGAAATTCAATAATTAAATACAAATTAGCGTTGACCTTGCAAATTAGGAAAGAAGTGAATATTTCTAAATTAATCCCAGAAATTTCTTGCCGTCGGCACTAATTTAGTGTTACAATCTTTAAATTAGAAAACATTTAATTTTATTGTAATTAATTCACAAGTCATTTTCTCTAGTTATTCCCCTATAAATAGATGTTTGATTAGAGCACACAAAATACAATCTCCTTCTCCTAGGCCAGAACTATCATTTTGTCTTGTTCCCATTTCCAGTTTTCTTTATATTAGTTTTTAGTTTGACGAGCTTAATAAATATCTACTACAACTTTTTTATTTATTCTTCTTTTATTTAATTTGTAATTTCTCTTGAAATTTCCAATTTTATATTGTTACACTTGTTTTATTCATCTCGTGCTCAATTTAATTTTTGCGTAGAATTTTTATTTTATTCGAATATTTTATTTACTTTATTTTCTATTTTAATTTATCAATTGTCTCATTTAATTTAATTTTATTGTTTATTATTCCAATCTTTTAATTTTATTTTACTAATTTTTATTCCAATTTGCACCTTAAATTTATGTTTATCTCTTTTGGTAATTTTAAATTTAATTACCGTACTCTTTTATTTTAATTACAAGCAATTTTTTATTCTGCATTTTATTCTGAAAAGTTTTGAATTTAGTTAAAAACACTTAGTTTTATTTTTATAAATTCCAATCTTTTAAATTTTCATTATTCTCGCTTCAATTTAATTTTTGTTTTTATTCTATTACAATTTAATTTTAATTTTTTGTTATTTTGCTTTAATTTATTTCTTGCTCTTTAGTGTTATTATCATCAAGTTCTCATTTATTGTTATTTACTATTTTTAGAGAAAATTATGTGTGGCAATGGGTACATTTGTATAATTGTGTTTTTATAAGATTTGACACAGGTTAGCTATGTCATGTAGTATGCTTCACGATAAACATTTGAAGGAGTTCCATGTAGTATGCTTCACGATAAAGCCAATAGGGTTTGCAGAAGACTATGTCAAGTTGAAGGTCTTTCCCTTTTCATTATGTGACATAACAAATGATTAGTTATACCTTCAGTTGACACCTATCACTACTTAGGCATATTTGAAGAGAAAATTCTTGGAGAATTTCTTCCCAGTCTCAAGGACCGTTGTCATTAGGAATAAAATCATGAGATTTGACAACTAAAAGAGGAGTCTTGTATGAATATTGGGACAGGTTCACCAAACTAAGTGCTACTTGCTTGAATCATCAGATAAATGAGCAGTTATTGGTCTAGTATTTCTATGAAGGACGAATGCCTATGGAAAGAAACATGATTGATACAATAAGTGGAGACACTTTAATGGATAAGACACCTGAAACTGCATGGGTCCTGATTTCCAACATGGCAAAGAAATCCCAACAATTCAGTGTCTGAACGTTTATCAAGCCAGTCCATGCAGTACAACTAAGCTCGGTAGCAGACTTCGATAATCAGAGGTTGGTGAACAAACTATACAAACTATCCGAGTTGACATTTTTGGTTCGACAATTGGCCATGAACCAACACACGTTTCTGTCGCAATATTTATGTGGGATATGCACCTTCATATATCATCACACTAATGCATGTCCTCAACTTTAGGAGATGTAGACCCCTAATTTTCCCCGGCCTCTCTAAAAGAAAAGAAGACCTCTCGCAATAAAGATGGAGCTCACCCATTCACTCAATAAAGGCAAAGGAGACTTCCTACAACAAGATAAAGTCTGCCCGGCGTCTCAAATAAAAGGCCAAGAAGACTTCCTATACGAAGATAAAGCTTCAACGGGCATCTAACGGCATCAACCGACGTCCGAATCATGAAAGGAAAGCTTCCCAGGGGTCCCAGAACACAAAAGCTGGCGAAAACAGGTTGAGACAGCAGTCCCAAAGTTGGGACGACCGTCCCAAACAACCTGGGACAGTTGAGACGGCCGTCCCAAGTGAGACTGGCTGTCCCACCCTTCCTGGGGTGGAGCAAAGAGCAAAAAATTCAATTGGGACGGCCGTCCCAACCCAGACTGGCCGTCCTATATTGGCACAACGTGGAAAACGCGTTTGGGACGGCCGTCCCAACCCAGACGGCCATCCCAAAGTTCCAGGCGAAAAATGGCTATAAATAAGAGCCTCATTTGTCATTCTCCACACCCCAGACAACTCCAAGACTTGTCTTCTTCTCTCCCTCCTTCGAATGATCTCTCTGATTGCCTTTAATAGGTAACAATCAGTTAAGGAATTTGTATTCCGGCATTCGATTCTTCTAGAAATCTTAGTCGAGTCGAGTCTGTATTTGAGAGGAGAGTTGCTGTAGAGCGAAGGATTTCCGTAAAGCATCCTCTGTAAAAAGGACTTATAATATAAAGCTTGCTTCGGAGGTTCTTCTCAATTCTCTTCCCTTTTACTGCTTTATTTATTGCTTTCTGTATGCAATGTAGATAAACCATGTAGATAACCATATTTAAATAACTATACGAATAAAATAGGGTAATAGCATAATTTCTTGTAATCATTACTTAAATGAATTAATCCGTCATAGGGAACCCGAAAGGGGCGTTGTGGGGTGCTAATACCTTCCCCACACGTAACTAACTCCCTTACCCGACTCTGGTTATAATGGCCAAGTTGGTTTTTTATTAAAATCAATGCCTTTTTCTCCTTTTCCAATGTTTATGGTCAAAACATTGGTGGCGACTCCAAAAGAACCCTTTTCGAAAACCTTGCTTCTATTAGAGGATAGTTCAGTGTTGAGCGCCTCGGAAGCAATGAACATAATTTTAAACAAAAACGCGAGTCTCAACCATCTTTTCGCGACCGCTCGCATTAACGTTCGAGATGTCCCTGGACGTCGGAACGGACGGCGGCGACAGATGGCGACTCCACTAGGGAAGCTAGAGAGTTGATCCCATTTAGTGACGGATAAAGTTCAAACTAAGTAAAGATTTGAAATTACGCCTTTACCCTTCTGTATGTTTTATTATATGGCTTTAAATAACTGCTGTATGATTATTTCTGCAAATTGTTTGAAATACAAATTGCACACAAAAACCCTTGCACACAACAGTCCCTCTATACCCGAGGGCAAGAGTGAATACCTATAGGGAGTGGGTGGCAGATACGACCGGCTTGTTGGCACACGGGGCTACAACCGTTGTCGGAAACCACCAACTCAAGGTGATAACTCTCTTCTTTTGGTCTAAGGATGTCGACACGGAGTTCCGTGCATGACCCGAGGACTGAGAGATTGAGAGGTCCCTATAATGGGGGCACCTTGGGGACCTTTGGCCTGGTGAGAACAGTTAGAACCGCCTAAACCAAGCACGTTTCTGTAGGAAAACCCTACCTCGTGATTAAATAAGCGTGGCTCTGCTCGTGGATGTATGAATTGTGTGTGCATACTTTTGCTGCATTTGTATTGATGCATTAGCATAGGGTAATCATACAACAAATAAAAAAAATGAAAAACCCTAAAATCATAAAAAGTGATAAGATAAAAGACATTTATCTCGGACAGTCTTCAGTTAAGCTAGCCTGGTTTCAGGTTCTTTGCAAGCTAAGTAGCCACGTTGACCGACAGAAGAGATAAAGGGTCATAAAAAATATAATAACAATTTAAAGCCATAAAAATACCTTTTTATAATAAAAAGATTATTGGCAAAGTCGTATCATTCATACCACATCATCCAATAAGTGGCAAAATTAAGAGAGAAAATAAATGCACTAAGAAAGGTATGCATAAACATCATCATAGTAAAACCTCTCATACCTAAACATATTCATTCCAGGATACACCAATCATTTAAAAAGCTATAATAAAAATTGTTAAAATCATTTAGAAAGTGGTTGGTCTTCCACCCGTCCTCACTCGAGCCCAGAAAGCTAAGAAGATGGAACAGTTAGAAGAACAAAACCGGAAGCTCACTACTGAGCTTAATACGCTAAAAGATCAAATGGTTCAAATGTTGGAAATGATGCGTCAGCAGAATATCCATAAGGAGGGTCCTCAAAGTGGACAAGCTTCTCATCAAGAAGAGGAAGAGGGACCCAATGATGAACAAGCCCAATCGAATACAAGGGCAGTACATATTTGTGCTCCAGAAATTTCCAAGCAACAGATTACTGCCCTCGAAGAGAGAATAAGGGCCATGGAGGGACGCGATTTCGATATTAAAGAAGCGGCTGACATGTGCCTCGTAAAGAACATTCAATTTCCCCCCAAGTTCAAGGTTCCAGATTTCCAAAATACAGGGGAATGAC